GGAATCAGCAACCAGCACATTAGAGAGAATTTAAGTAATTTCTTGATCAAATATGTCAATTCTCTGTGGGTCAATAAATGAGGAAAAGTTTAGAGAAAAAGAAAGAAGAAAGGCCTACTACATACAGACTGCAGCTCAGCCCAGAATGCTTCAGCATCTGCCGCTTCCAATACCAATGTGAAAACACCTCTAGAGCTAAAACCTCCAGTCACTACAACTAGAATTAAAATTAAGCAAAATCCGAATCTATGGTACACCACTTGCAAGGAAGAAAAAAGCACCTACCTAGAAGAATTCAAGTCCATTTTTCTTTTCCCCAAGTAGAACATGATTGTTGATGAAATCCCATCCAAGTAATCTCACAAACATTTTTATGACAATGATTAAGCTTTAGCATCAAAAAGAAAGGCTTTCATTCTTTTCTCTTCTTTTTTGCTGAGGAAGATTAGCCCTGAGCTAACATCTGTGCCAATCTTCCTCCACTTTATATGTAGGTTGCCACCACAGCATGGCCAATGAGTGGTGTAGGTCTGCGCCTGTGATCCAAACCCTTGAACTCAGGGCCACCAAAGAGAAGCAAGCCTAATTTAACCAGTATGTCACAGGGCTGGTCATGATACTTTCTTTTCTTTTTTTTTGAATTTATTTAGAGAATCTCATTCAGGTGTAGAATCTGAAAATTGGGATCCAAAATGCCAGCTGAGGTTGGCAGCGGTCCACTACCTTCTGTGCTCCAGGGATTAAAGAGAATAAATAAGTAACACTCAGAGCTGACAGCATGGTCTAGTTCAGGCCAGTTTTAATTAGAAATAACCAACAGGTGAGTGGATTTTGGAGCCTCTTGCAGCTCCAGGGCTGGCTCCAGGCCATGTGCAGCCTCCCCAAATGGACAGGGGAGTGGTATTTCAGTGGAAAGCTGCTCAACTATCCACTATCCAAGGGCCTCACTAGGACTGAAAAGACCTTTCTGGCGTCTGCACTTGTCCTGTGAGGTTACACTCAGACTTCCCATGACATTATTCATAACAAACCAAAGTGGGCCTAAGGAATCTTAAGTTATTTTTAAAGGTATATGATTTGCATATAAAATAACCTAGGACTTATATACTTATTTTATTTTAAACATCTGAGACCCAAAATAATTGATAGAAGCACCTTATTACTCAGAATGCTAACCAATTTTTAATTGTCTTTGGAGATTTTCCCTCTTCTATGCTCCATTAGCCACATTTAAGACATACAATTCTCATTTACTTAGATGTCTTGACACATTAGCAGCTTCCTAATTTAAATATATTGGGGCCAGCTGGTGGCATAGTGATTAAGCTCATGCGCTGTGCTTCAGCAGCCTGGGGTTCATAGGTTCAGATCCCAGGCATGAACCCACACACCACTCATCAAGCCATGCTGTGGCGGAGTCGCATATACAAAATAGAGCAAGATTGGCCCTTGCGTCAGCTCAGGGACGATCTTCCTCAAGCAAAAAGAGCAAGATTGGCAATGGATGTTAGCTCAGGGCCAATATTCCTCACCAAAAAAAACAAAAAAAACCCACATTCTTTTCCTTAATCTACTGAGATTAAATTATTTTCCTTTACTTGGCCAAAAAATTTCTTGTTAACAGCTTTCAACTGTTGGCAATTTTTATTTCTCATTTCAGAATTTACGTGAGAGAAATGCCAGATTTAGATTCTTCTTTAAAAATCATTAATACACATCCTATTTAAAATATGCCTATGGGAGGGGCCGGCCCCACGGCCGAGTGGTTAAGTTCACATGCTCCGCTTCAGCGGCGGCTCAGGGTTCGGATCCTGGGCGCCGACATGGCACTGTTCATAAGGCCATGTTGAGGCAGCGTCCCACATGCCACAACTAAAAGGACACACAACTAAAATATACAGATAGGTACTGGTGGAACTTGGGGAGAAAAACGAAGGAAAAAAAAAAGAAGAAGATTGGCAACAGTTGTTAGCTCAGGTGCCAATCTTTAAAAAAAAAAAATACGCCTATGGGAAAACAGAGGAATGATTTTTCCTTCTATAAACTGACATTAACTTAATAAGTAATGGTTTTATTACAATATTAATAAAGCTTGTGCCAATATACAATAAGTGCATTCTGTAATGGGTTGATTTTATCTCACCAATACAATTCTTTAAAACCAGAAAACCTAACTGATTTGGATTAACTAGATTATACATCTGAGTGAATTTTAGAAAACTTCACTTTTATTTTACCACTCGTTAACACACACACAGAGGAAACCACAGCAGGTCTCTAACTGATAAACTCCACCCCTGGAAGAGGGAAGCATGGTGGAATTCCTGACCAGGAAAGCTGCTAACGGTGTCTTCCTGTAGTCCGGTAATCACTGAACACTGAAGGCAGCCGGAGAGACAGTGGCCCCGGAGAGACAGTGGCCCCGTGCAGCCTGGAAATGGCTTCATTCAAGCGAGCAGCTCCGTCATCTGACAACTCAAACCCCAGAGGATCATGCACACCAGCCAGGAAGGACGAGCTCCCAGAGGCAGTGCCCACCTCTCCCCACCCCCGGCGTGAGTGTGTGGGGGCAGTCCCATCACCAGAACTGGAAGAGAAACCTGCAGCTGACGAGCCCGGGAGCAAGCCCAGTCACCGGGCCAGAGGCTTCTTCTTACAGATGAGGAAATTAGAAACTGAGACTCAACACGACTACCACTTGGCCGAGGTCACCCGGCAGGTTCAAACCAGGATAATTCGTGACAGCAGAAGCCTATTCACCTCCCAACATGCCCTGCTCCCAACACAGAAGGAATCCCAAAACAAGCCATCCTCAAGGTCCAAACACAGCTGCGTCCGCACTCGTCCTCGGCCACCCGACCCTGATGGAAGCAGCGCAAGCACTGACGGTGGAGCCTGAATGGACAGATTTCCAACACTTCCCCCGACTCAGGAAGGTCACCTCTTCCAGACACAGATGAGAAGCGACAGACCACCAAGGAGGACCATCCTCAGAATATGCCGGCTCTTACTTACAGGCAGGAAGTGTGTCACCTGCTCTTCTCTTACCCTTCAGAGCAATAGTTCTCAGTGGAGGAGAACTGGGGGCATTCTGCAATCCAGTGGGACATATTTGGTTACCAATGGGATTCAGTGGGTATAGCTCAAGGAGGTTACAACATCCTTTAATGCATGAGACTGTCTTGTCTAACAAAAACTCTTCCTGCACAAATTTCAAATGCCCCACACATTCACATGAGTGAAAAGCAGGCTTCTAATTCTCTGAGCCCAAAATCTTATTCCCTTCTACATTTAGACACAAAATATTCTTGGATAATTTTAATGTAACTTGAATTTTCCAGGAATTCAACTATTCTTCAAGTCTAGAGAAAAGTATACCTTGCTTTACTTGAAACTTCATCAAGAACTGCTCATCACTCTGTAATATTCCATCACCAGGCAGTATCAGAGTCCCTAGGGGGACAGCCCTCCTGGTCCAGGACCCGACACACGATGTCTGGGCATCTGGCCTATTCCCTGCCTCCTTGCGCATTTCATTCAACCATTCACACCTTAAAATACATGCTATTTTACTATACACTGTTATCCTTTTATTTCTCCCTACATTACAGTTAAGGCATTATATTAATTTTTAAAATTATATTTTCTAAACATTGCATTTTAGGATAAAAAGGCATTACGAAAAAATTATTCTAAAAAAAAAGGGATTGGGTCTGACCAGTCTGAGCCTCACTGCCTGCACAGAGGACCTGCTCACAGATGTTGAGAAAATACCTGGTGATCCTTTAGGACACAGTACGGACACAGGTGAAAGGCCCTGTCTCAGAGCAACACCACGGCCTATCCCATCTTCCCCTGGGGACAGAGAGCCCTGGAGTGCCCCCCCAACTGGAGAGCAGGTGTTGGGGCCGTGCAGGGTGTCAAACACACACAGCAGGACACTTTGGAGAGTTAGAGGAGGCTAGAGTAATTATGCCACACAGCAGCCGTCACCCACAGGCGTCCCAGACAAACCAGGACAGCTGGTCACCTTGAACTTGGGGCATGTTCAGGAGCATCCCAAAACCAACCAGGAACCCCTCCTCGATCCCACATTCCCCTGAAAAGTCCACAAAGCCCCTAGTGCTGCTCCTGTCCCCAGAGCACATGGGCAGGCGGAACCCAGCAGACGCCGGCAGGAGGGCCGGCCGCCATCCATCCGGCTCACTGTGGCTCACACTCCTCTGAATCTGCCATGCGCCCCGACCCGACCGAGCCACCGCCCTCGCTCCCGAGACACACAAGGCGGGAGGCAGCAGTCGGTCCAGAGAGAGCAGAGCCCTCAATGAAAATGCTGCGAGCTCTCAGCAAGTACAAAGACAGATTGTGCCACCACCACCAATGTGACTTTTGTGTTGCCAATTGTGGAAAAGGATAAAAACACCAACAGGACTGATGGAAAGTGCTGCCCAGAGCCCCGTGGGAGCTGTTCACAGAAGCTACAGCATCTGAGGGGCGCCTTGGACTGACGCATCTATAAACAGGGCAAGGACTAGGAGACATCCTTCCAATCTAACTAAACTCTCCATCAAGTTTCAATTCAAACGGCACATAAACTACAACACACCTCACTACGATTAGGTTCTAAAGATTTTAAAAAATAGGCACAGTAAGAACTACAGATGTGAATGGAAAGTTTGATATACTCAAGTGAAATTTACAAACACTGCTTATGAAGAAAAATACCTGAAGACTAGCCAGATAGAAAAGGAAAGAACAAACAAATGGACATCTTCAAAGATTTGGTGGGTTAGTTCCAAAGAAAAGATGCACCAGTCTGGTCTATGTCAAAAAGAAAATGTGAGAATGACTTTGAGTCATTCGGCAAATGTCGTGTGTGTGGTTCTGGCCCAACTAACATCGGTGAGGATGCCGCTGGGGCAGAGCCCCTCGCGTGCAGAACAACTGAGTCAGCAGCTGCGAGCCCGGCGAGGGCGTTCCCGCGCCCCATCTGTTCTTACCATCGCACTTTGTTGCACGTCTGCGTCGCGCCGAGAGGGGAGCCTGCCACCATGGGGACCTGGATGGGGCTGTGCTGCTTGTTCGTGACCAGATCCAGCTTTTCTTCCAGCGATTTACACGTCGCCTCGAGAGCTTGCAGCTTGGCCTCAATGCTATCCAATCGCAAGCATATGGTCTGGTTAATGGAATACAGGAATGACTGAAAGGGAAACAAAGATACACTTCAGAAGGGACATCTTGGACTGGAAGGAGACAATTCCAAGGAACACCAGACAGCTCCTTCCTCATTTCAACTGTATCTACTCCAACAGAACCATCCCCACGTTGCAGCTCTTTAGTTACAGGCCAGGAACATCTGAGTAAGAAGCTCAACTTTCTGTACTGAAAACGAACACCACAGCCCCGGCTCTACTCCTACGTGCAGCTGAGCCTCTTAGTTACCTTACGTCCACACAAAAACTTTATGTAGTCTTCAGGATGCTGTTCTGTTTACCAGTAGATTTACACTTAAAACTAGACCAATCTTCCTAACTATGAAAATAGATGACACCTATCCTCAAAATGGCCTGAAAACCAGCGGCCCTGCACATTCACATTATTCCCAACTGCCTGGAGTTGCCGTGTGGGACCGAGGTTCCCGTGCTGCTGTGAACAGCAAGCCCGCCACCTAGTGGCCGACATGCAGAGCAGCCTCCGGTTCCAGTGTCACTGCTGAGTCCCAACTGCTAAGTCCAATGAATCCCAGTGAGCAGAGACATGCACGACTCCAAACCCAAGAAGAGGATCAAATACACAAACCAGACGGGGAAGCTCTCACTCCCCACAGCCGCCACTGCTGCCGAGAGTCAACAGGATACAGATGGAAGCGTGTTGTTCAGGTAAGACTAGTACTGTGCAACCAACGAACACCCAAGGCCGGTCCTACCAGGTGATCCGGGGATCAGAGTGCTGGTTAGGAGCGAGTTCTTAAAGCTCGATTTAGCAGCAGGCTGGCTTATGAGCCGGCAGCTGAAAGTCACGAAGAATTTGCCATTCTTCTTTAGTGCCCTTGACTGACCAGAGTGAAGTGCCTGAGGTGGACACATCGGAAGTGAGGGGGCAGCCCAGGGGGAGCAGGAGGCCCGGAGGAGCTTCAGAGCAGGCCGGGCCCTCAGCACACGGGCGGGACGATGGCCAGCCTCTGTTGCACTGACAGGGCCCTACCGTTTACTCATGCTGCTCCTCCTTGTTAACAACAGGAACTGAATATTTCTAGACAGATGCCCCAGACAAACAGAGGAATTACAGGAAAAGTTACTTCGGTTTTCACTTGCTTGGCTTTCTTAAACTTCTCATACGCGCTGATGTGACTGTAAACACCAGACCGGCCAAGGAGATCCAAAGATCCAACATCACTGATGGACTGACTCAGAGGTTTCCAAGACCACAGGGAACAAACCAAAATTTAAGGACTTAAACGACAGGCGCAGAAGTACTTCGTCACTGGTGGGAAATATCAGCCACACGAATTGGTCACTTTCCTTCCATCCACAGTAGGTTACGGGTCTAGGGCAAGACGCCTCCTGTGGCAGCAATCTTAATCTAAATGATGTTTATTCTTCATACTTTTCAAGGAGAGAAAGCAGCTTTACGCATGTTGTAGGGGGTTGAACGGTGACTTGAAAAAACAATACATCCACGTCCTAATCCCCAGAACCTCTAAATGCAGTCACATTCTGCAAAAAGTCTTTATAGATGTAATAAGCCAAGGATCTCGAAATGAGATCCTCCTGGATTAGGGTGGGCCCTAACTTTAACAACCATGTCCTTAGAAGAGACGAGGAAGGGGAGAGACACAGACCCATGGGGAGAAGGCCGCGTACAGATGAGGCAGAGACGGAGGGGCACGGCCACAGCCAGGGACGTCCGGAGACCCCAGGGGCAGAAAAGGCAGGAAGGACCCTCCCCTGCAGCCTCCGGAGGGAACACAGCCCTGCCAACCTTGATTTCAGACTTCTGGCCTCCAGAACTGTGACAGAATAAATTTCTGTTATTTTAAGCACCCCAGTTTTTGAGAATTTGTCATGGCAGCCCTAGGAAACTAAGATTTAAATAATGAAATATGCTGTATTTTTACCTTTATAGAGGGGTCCTGGCAATTGATCTCTAGTCGCTGGCGTTTCAAAGCTGGTTCATCTTCATCTGTTACGACATGGTTCTCCAGCACAACTGAAAACCAACAGCAAAAACAAAAGACTTAAACTTCAATATGACAAGCTTTATAGAACTGTTTTAAAATCAAGACAGTAAACAGTTCTGACACCTTAAGGTTATATGAGAAACGGCGCAACCTCTTTCATATTTTACCTTTCTACAGTTTTAACTTAAAATTCTCAGGCAGAAAACAGGATATCTCCTTAATCTCAAGAAAAACTGAGATACCAGGTAAATTACATCCCTAATGTGCTTCTCATTCAATGCTCTGTTACGCCACCCTGTCTGAATTTCGGCATGATGAAACCTAATCAATAATAATGATTTCTTCCCAACCGGAAGCCTTGCCTGTTGGCTATCTCATTTCAAAACCAAAACCACTCTCTGGTTATTACGTTGTCTTAGGTGCTGGTCACCAGACAGTCTCCAACTTAACAGGCTGCTCCACAGAAGCCACCGCACAGTGCCGCTGGACTCAACGTGTCCCCATCAGCACCCTTCAGCTGATCCTCGAGGCTTCCCCACGGAAGAGCAACTCGGCACAGATTCAAGGCCTGCCACAAGATGGTCCCAGATGCCTTCCTTTCGTCTAAAATTAACTACAGAAACAATATTAAAGATAACCACAAAACCAAAGACCAAAACTATCCACAATCACCTCATCTCTGCACAGCCCAACCCTGTGCTTCGAACAGTCTTTCAACATGTCCATGTGGGCGACTATGGACAGAATCTATATTCAACACTTCCTGCTGAACATGGGGCCATGGGTACTTCTCCATTTCACCACAGGATTTCTCCTGCTCACCTCCCGGCCCGAAGCCACAATGTTAACTGCCTGGTGTGCTCCTCCTCGCCTCCTTCCACCTGCTCACACGTGGACACAAACATCAGACGCCTATGGGAGGGCCAGGGTCCTCTATCAATAGACCTGTCTGCATCCTTCCTCTCCACTCAGCCTTGTCACGTGGCCAGCCCTCCCAGCTGATGGCTTCAACTCACTTTTTTAACAGTAATAGCAGCGTGTGAATCTATTGTACAGAAATGAGTGCCAGTATACGAGAATACAGATTATATAGGTATATACAGAGAACACGCATATTATGATACTGTGTGTGTACACATGCACAGAAGCGTGTTGCTGTAGCACTAATGGGAGAGGGGCCACCAACGGAGCATAAACTATGGTGCACGCACACACTGGCACATCATCCATCCACCTGTCCAAGACATTCACGGTACAGCCGAGCAGGATGAGCTCGCTGTGGACAGACGATGTCAGCCTCACCTGGACAGTGCTGTCTGGCCACGTCCCGGCTCCACCCCTCAACCCTGCCCAAACCTCCATCTGCCCAGCCACCTCCACACAGGGAAATCCATCCACCTTCCATCCAGCCCCACTTGGATACCGGAACTCATGTCCACTCACACTGTGACACCAGCAGTGGCAGCCTCCCCCCAGAGCAGACCACCCCCCAGCCCCTTACACACAAGGCTATCCACAGATATGGGCAAAGCACATCCTGCTGGCATTGGATTCCTCATCTGCAAAGGGAAGGTTGGGGGCAAGCACAGGAAGCACAGGTCTCTGCGGTCCCTGCCACCAGCTCAGTCAAAGCACCTCCACTTCAACAGGCTGTATATACTGAGCTTCCAAGAAGATCTCGATTAAAAAAGAGTGTCAATGCCTTTCAGCCTATACATACCAGATGATTCATCTCAAAGGTCTCAAATTTAAAGACAGTGAATCATCCTAGGGCTCGAACACGAACCTTTCACAGGTCCTAGGCAAGAGCAAGAAACCGATCTCCTAGAGGTAAATTAGCCAAAGCTCTACCCGGCAGGAACCAGCCAAGGGCCAACAAGAACAAGAAGCACCCGCTTACCTAAGCGCTGTGCCTCACACACCATGGACCTGGCTGCAGGGGCCTTTCCAGAGCAATGCGTGCGAATGAGTTCTCATTAAGTGAAAAAGGAAAAATCTATACCTACAAGTGTTTGTGGTTAGCAAAACACACATTCTCAGAAGCTTAGTCAAAGCCTATTTACTTCCATTAGGAACTGGTAATTTAGACCAGGGTTGGGAGGACAGAGAGAGACCTGGCAATCATTCTAATCCTTCTAATTTGCTGAATAGAAACCAGTCCAGAGAGGTTAAGTGACTTGCCCAGGGCCAAACAGCTAGTTTCTTGTAACTACAGAAAAGAAGACTCAGTGCCCCTTGGCAGCGTGAAGTCCCTCAAGGTTGTAAGTAAGGGCAGCAAGCAGACGTGTAAAAGGAAATGTGCCCGTGAAGACGACTGAGATGCACACACCAGGGTTCCAGCAGTGACTTTCCAGGGCTATTGGACTGTGAGTTTGTTTTTTTCTTCATCCTTTGCTGCACTGCTTTGTATAATTTTGCGTGCATTACTTTTAGATTTAGACTAAAGAACCCAGCATTCATTTTAAAGCCATGGCAACCAGCTGGAAGCCAGGCCTGATGAGAGCTCCCATCTTAGGGAGGTGCAGACAGGTAGAATAAGTGCCACCATACGGGGAGCACGTGCAGAGTCAGAAGAATCTAAACATTTCTGCTTTAAATGGAAATTGGAAAAAACTAGAAGGACGTACATGCCAACAATTTAAAAGCTGTTCTACCGCTAGGACTATGGGAAATTTTCATTTCTTCTACTTGCTTAACTATGCTTTTAAATATTACAAAGGTCATATTTTAGAGATGAGGAAAAAATAATCTCACTCTTAAACACACTCCGGGTGCAAACGTGTGTAATGCACTATGGTATTTGCTGGCTGCCTGCAAATTCCTCTAGGTCAGAGATCGCAGGCTTTCTGTTGAAGGCCTCAGAGAGCCCTGCACACAGTAGGTTTGCATTAAACAGTAAATTGTAGCTGCCAGTTAATTAAAGAACAGAGATGGAACAAAACCAAGACTGTAAATGATTTCGCTAAGCCTTCCTTGCACTGCAATCTATAGAGAGAGAGAATTTACTTGGGATGTAAGCTGTCAGAATTTTAATAGTCCTAAAAATGCTTAAAATTTATGTAACTGGAACATTTTTCTTTTATAACATTGCAATACGTACTGTCTAAAGAAATTGTCCTTCACCTCCCAAAGTCTGCACAGATATTTTCAGAATTGTTACGTCCAACAACAGTGCTGCTGCTTCTTTAAGTTCAGCGGTGTCTGAGGTGTGGGGCTCATGAGGCCAAGGCCGCACGGTCTCGCTCCAGCCACACTGCTCAGCTTTGACTGAGAAACTCTGGGTAAACGGCAACACCGCTATGCCCCAGCTTTGTTCAGTGATCTGACACTGATCTTGCCAGTTAAGAGTGCTGCTCAGAAACCAATCAGAAGCAAAATAAAGGGGGAAACGGACCAAAGAATAGCATTTCTGAAGGAGCGCCTTCATTTCTTTGTGAAAGCTCATTTAACCCCCAAATTATTTATATTTTATATATTATATTACTCTCTTTCCATACCATAACTAATTCCAAATGAACTTTTTCTATTTTTCAAATAGATCACACAAGATAGACATCATTATACTTTCTTATGGGATTTCTGAAAATTCTCTTTTCTGTGGGGAAAACAAAAGTCAGCATTTCAGTTCTGCTATTCCAGAAAGAATAGCCGGGCAACCAAAACACCCAGTGACCTAACTCTGTGTACTCATCACATCAAACTTCACACAATATAAAACACACAAAACTTTAATGCAAAAAAAAAAAAAAGTTGTTCTCACATTCAGTCGATGGAAGAATAACAAAATAAGACATTTCCGGGAGATTTGTCAGTGTCTTATCAAAATTCTGAACATACAAAGCAACTCTACTTCTAGGAACTTACCCTACAAAAACATCTGCCAAGATACACGCATGGATCTTTACGGCAGGGGGGTATTTAAAAGAACACCAGTGCAAACAGTGTAAGAGGCTACACTGGGATACACCTACAAGGGAAATACCACGTGGTTGTCAAAAAATGAAGTTTGTACACACCAACACGGGAAGACGGCCACAACACAGGCCGAGAGGGAATTTTGAAAAGGAGGAGGTGTAAGGAAGAAGGCTGTGGAACCTTGTGCAGGTGGGGGTGGGGGGCAGCAGAGGCTGGACGTGCTTGTGCACACATCAGAAGACGGAGAGCGGAGCAGGTGCTGGAGGGCTACCCACCTGGGAATGGATGCACGGTCTAAGATTGTTTACACGCTCTAAGACTTGCATTTCTCACACAGAGCATGCATCTCTTGTTCTCTTGCTTTATTTAACGGAAAGAAAACTTCTGGGAGCTCTGCTGGATTTTTAAAGAACAGAGAGAAGCACGGTTCCCCTGCTGTCCCCCAGCTCTGTACCTGGGTGATCAGGACTCAGGTCTCCCACTGCAATCTGCACCACATCCGCCAGATCCTGTTCCGACATCATCCAGAAGGAGAGGGGAGAGGCCAGCCAACGAGCAAGAACCAAACTCAGGCAGGATCGGGTTTCTATCGCCTGTAAAACAAAACCAAAGACAGAAGAGAGGGAGATTAATAACTGCGACCTGGGAGATGATGGCAACTGCTAACCATGTGTATTCAAGAGGATGTCAAACGTCTGTGGATTTTAATGTAGGGTTCTTGTTGCCCCAAACCACCAAAAGGTTAGTCTTCTCTGAGAACTGAGAAACAGCTCAAAAACACTGCTCATTGCCTCTGTCTTAACCACCCCACTAGCCCCTACCTGACAGCCTCTCTCTTTATCAATGCACCCCTCACACCGCCTCCTAAGTCCCCTTCCTAAAACACGTGAACACGTCATCCCCCAGCCACATCTCCAGCAGTCCCCTGCTGCCCACAGAGCACAGCCTATGCTTCGCCTGCTCCCCGCGGAGCAGGGCCGTGGTGGTGCTAGCCCCTGCTAGACACACCTCACCCGAGAAAACCACCACACTGCTGGTCTCCCCCAGTAACACACCTCCCCACGTCCCGAATTTGACCCAAAGCACCCTTCCACATAGGCTGTCCGCACACACCATTTCTGCCACTCAAACCGCCCTCCCTCTAAGCGCCTCTGCTTTGCTTTCCTTTGGCTGCCAGTGCAGACCTGCATGCAATACCACCCCACTGCCACAGCCCCAGGGGCACTGCCGTCCCGCCCACCACTGCACTTGCCAGGGCAGGGGCCGCCTCTGGTTTGAGTTGTCCCCGGGGGGAACAGTGTGTCTGCAACAGTCAGTGACGTTCTTCCTGCTCCTGAAACACTTTGATTAGGCCCAAAGAGAGCTTATCTTCCAAAACAAAAATGAAGCCATGTCATTCCAAAGATAGGGACACAGTATGTGAAAACAGGATGCCCTGGAGAACTGAGGAATCAATGTCACCACAATATTTTTATCATATTATACTTTATATTTTAATTATTATAAATAAATATAAAATAAGTTTACAGGATAAACTGTCTTTCTCCAACCCGACCACATGTTCCTTGACGGCAGAAACCACACGCTCAGCTCTCTGTGGCACAGTTCCTTTCATCAGTAAGTGCTCACTGTCCCAAGTCACAACTCCCGTGGGGCAGAGGGGAGTTGAATTAAAATTTTCAGATCATCTAGTTTCAACTAGGAGTCTACTGGCAGCTGCTTTTAATGGATAAGTTCCAACAGGCACAAAATTAAATTCACAGGTTTCACACATGTTCTTAAATCCTATAAATAACATGGTTCCTCTTCTCTTTTGTCCAGATTTAAATTCTACAGCTTAAACGGTGGCAGCTCCAGAATTTCTTAGGGACAACAATTTGCAGAAGGAGGAACCAAGCTCCTGTCCTAAATCCTCCTTTCTAGAGTAAATACAACATTTTTGCTTAAACATATAATTGAACATATGATCAATAAAATGGCAACGGTGTTTTTCTTCCCAGTTTATTCCCACTTCACATAAAACTGAATGAATTGAGAAAACATCAATTGTCCTTAACAAAGAAGAGAGACTGATGACAAACAGGAGGGAAACAAAGAACCTCAGAGGCACTACGACTGACCACTTTAAACATCCAACTATGAAAGATGGCATTGACAGAGATTTTTAATCTCCCCAAATCCCCTTGTAAAGATACATGGAACAACTAGGAGGGCAAAACCCAAATCCAGGTCAACATCTACAATACACTGAGTGGTCAGGTGTCCTAAGGAAGTCCAAACTCCGAGTGGGTGGGGACACACCACTGACAGCCACGAGATGGTCATGGCAGAAGCATGCGTGAGGCAGGAGCAGAGAGAAGCAATGGGTCAATCTGGGAAGAGCAGCCGAAAACAGCAGGTGAGCACAATCCAAGAGCAGACAAATGCAGTGGGGTCTGCAGTCATGTCCAGAAGGCCTAGAACATTCTGGGCCCCATGAACTCTCTAATCATCTGAAGTTCCCTTCTAGGCCAAATACACTGAAAAGAGATGACGGGGGATAGAATACAAGATGTACAGGACAGGGAAACAGAAAGAGGAAAATGAAAGTCTAAGGGCGAGAGAGAAAGACAGAGCCCAGTGAGCTCAGAAAATAAGCTGCCACATTTTTTTTAAACTTCCTAAAATCAACAGAAGACAGAGCTTCAGAACACTGAAATTAGAAAAACTATTCTAAGTCAAGCTTCCCTTCAAATTCAAGAAAATTAATGCCACACAAAAATGAACAGAAAATACTGAGGTGAAATCTCACATACAGATAACATTTTAAAAGAGAATGTGGAGCAAAATAACATTGCTACAGATGATGAAAGCATACTAGAAAGACATGTCCTCAAAAGAGATGAAAAATCTATACTGATATTTCAAAACAAGGGGCTGCCCGGTGGCACAGTGGTTAAGTTTGCGTGCTCCGCTTCAGCAGCCGGGGGTTCACCAGTTCAGATCCTGGGTGCAGACATGGCACCGCTTGGCAAGCCATGCTGTTGTGGTAAGTGTCCCACATATAAAGCAGAGGAAGATGGGCACACATGTTAGCTCAGGGCTAGTCTTCCTCAGCAAAAAAAGGAGGATTGGCAGCAGTTGTTAGCTCAGGGCTAATCTTCCTCAAAAAAGGAAATTCAAAACAAGTTGAAATACATGAAGGAAATGATGTAAGATATCATCAATCATAAACCAGCAGTAGAAAAACTCAGAAACGAGGTAACAGAACTCAGAAACAATCAGAACTTTAAAAAATAATAATTTCAGAAATGAAGATCAATCTAGAAGAAATCCAAGAGCAAATGCACAAACTGTGCCTTAAGCAAAATGAGAAAAGAATGAAAATTTTAAGAATTAAAAAAAAATGAAAGAAAAAAGTTCAAGAAAAAGTAGCATAGTGACAGGCAAAGCAGATCCAACATACGTATAATAGAAGACTCTAAAGACGAAAACCAAAGCAAGCAACAAAAGGGAACACTGAAACTCTAATTCAAGAAAACTCTCCAGAAGGTGGGGAGGGGAGGGGATGTTTCAAACTACTTATGGAAAAGACACATCACAAACAAACCTGGTGAGGAAAAAAAAGCAGAGCCACCAATACCAAGACATATTCTAATAAAAACAGTATTTAAAGGAAAGAAAAATTCCTTTAGACAGCCAGGCAAAAAGACCAGGTGACTTATAATGGAAAAAAATTAGGTCATCAAACTACGACAGAAGAAAATATATTTAACATATTTGAGATACTCAGGGGAAAAAATGTGAGCTTTTATAACCAGACAAAACGACTTTCAAGTACAAAGGCAGCAAACTTTTATTAACATACAGCACTCAGAGAATAGTATTCCCACAAACCCTTCCTGAGGAAACTGCTAGAAAACATGCTTCAGAAAACCAAAATCACTAGAAGAGACAACACAAACTGGTTAGTGGTGAACATTCTATATTTACATGTAGAAATAAGACTAAATGAAGAATATAAAGGAGAAAGTGTAGTATGCAATGGCTATATGCTCTGATGATGTAGATACAATTCAACTGTTTAAAAATGGGGAGAAAATTTGGGAGAACATATACGAAACAAATTTTAACAATTTTCAATAGTCACACTGAGTGGTAGTGTTGGAACTCCCTTCTGAGAATGTTCTGTGTGCAAATAAGGACTTACAGAATATCCCAGTTCTACCGTTCCTGATGTTCTTGAAAGGTCAGATAAAAGAGGTCAAGTAGACCTTTGAGCTGTGGATTTGAACTGGAAATATGAACTTGGGAACATATGTTTAGACATACACTCTATCTCTGTCCACTAAAAAGGCGTAGAAACAGTGGTCAATCCGATAACCATGTACATGCCTGGAGCACAGACTGAGGTGTTGAAATACCATCTCCCACCAAAAGAAATCAGAGCTTCTTAGAGAAGCGGCTGATTCCACCCGAAGCAAGGAATATGCAAGATGAGCCAAGAACATCTTGTTAAGCCAGACGTAAGGAAGCTGCCAAAGATATCAGGGTTATATCAAAAGGAATCGGGGGCTAACTTGAAGAAGCTCCTCCTGGCCAAAGATGAAAAAGATTGACCATCAAGAAGGTTAACAATGTCAATGGCTTGAAAGGGAAATATTTTTAAATTCATGAGTTCAAAATGATACCAAAAAAAGGTCACCTTTGGAGGGTGCTAGGGAACTAAGTCATTAATCTTTTTAAAATGGTAATGATGAAAGAATCAAGCATTTATCCTGCCTTTTGTGGAACGCAATAAAAGAAATCTGAACTAAACTGGAGTCAGGGCAGCCTGTAGGGGGAGCTCTCATGCCCCATCACACATCCTCAATGACACCAAACAGGAAGAGGTGGACCCTGCACCTTCCACAGGAAGCACAACTACTTTAACTACTGAGGGAAGACTTCACTCCACCCAGCAACAGCTCAGCCAATGAGAAAGGCCACAGCCCAGCCAATGAGAAACGCCGCAGCTCAGCCAATGAGAAATGCCGCAGCTCAGCCAATGAGAAATGCCACAGCTCAGCCAATGAGAAACGCCATGGCCCAGCCAATGAGAAGCCATTGCCGCCCTGAACTGTTACTGTCCTCCAATGGTCTTTCATTTAGAACAGCCCCTCCCCACTCCTCCTTTTCTCTATAAAAGCAGCTCCCTCCTTTGTTTTTTAGATCTGCCTATGGTTTGCTGTAGCATGCATATTCCAAGTTGCAATTCTTTGGGCTATACCCAAATAAACTCATTTTGAGGGTAAAATAACTGGCAAATTTCCTTTTTTTTTTTTTTTTTTTTTTTTTGCTGAGAAAGATTTGCCCTGAGCTAACATCTGTTGCCAATCTTCCTCTCTTTTTTTTTCCCCTCCCCAAAGCCCCAGTACATAGTTGTATATTCTAGTTTAAAGTCCTTCCAGTTCCTCTATGTGAGCCCCCACCACAGCATGGCTACTGACAGATAAGTGGCATGGTTCTGCGCCCAGGAACCAAACCCGGGCTGCTGAAGCAGAGCATGCTGAACTTTACCCACTAGGCCATCAGGGCTGGTTCCAAATTGGCTTTTAAGTTGACACTTTCTATA